TAATAATATAAATGGTCTAAAATCAAATTTTAGATAATTTTAAATTTACATTGTTACATTTTTCTTCTCATCATAGGACTGTATTTATTCATTTATTTGCTTTTGAATTTGAATTATCCCTTTAATGTATTTTTATTTATCTGTTTGACGTTTATTTTCTTCACCATGTGAATAGTTTTTTTGAAAATTCTGTATAAATTATTTACATCGATTCTCTAAAATGTTAGTTATAATAATGCTTATATATTTATCTGTTTTTACATTTTTTTTTTATTTAATTAATGACTATATGTTGCAGTTGTTTTAATTTGTTTTTGTGCTTTTTCTCCAAAAAAAAAAAAAAAAAAAAAAAGTGTGTCCCCAAACCCTATACTGTACATTAATAAAAATAAAGTTACTTCATTGGCATCAGTGGTTGCATGAATAAGCTTTAAAATACTTGGAATCTTTCCATTCCACAAAAACTTTCTTTTAATTGACAGGTTCTCAAAGTGGGGCTGCAGAACATATATTGTTTCAGCACTGATATCGCAATGTGCGAGTCCGCAATAGTCACATCGCAGGGATATGCAATGTAGTCAGGATTGTAGTTGACCAGACATTACAGCTAACAACATAGGAGTAATTTCATATTTTAACCTTAGAGTGAAAGTTTATTATTTGCATGCATTATAAAGACCTGACTGTAAGAATTTAAAGCAAATTCAAGCCATTTGGGCACAATAAATGAAGTGTTTGTAGCCTAAAAATTAATTGCAGATTATATATTTACTCAATTAAAATGATAAAGTGTTGTTGTCATTATTATTATTATTATAATATGATAATCATTTAATTTCTGCTTCTGAATACTGTTTGACTCTCCAGAAAATCATAAATCATTGTTTATTTGCCTCTTTTCTCTGTTTCACTAAACTTTGCATGTCATTTTTAAAATATTTCATGCAGATACTCTCCCCTATAGAATCATCCCAACTGATCTAAAATTATAAATGCTTTACAAGCTGTTCAGGTTATCTGCAGAAATAGCATTTATATCGCAATATATATCGTAGTGAATGAAAATGTTGCAATGTCAGATTTTTTTTCCAATACCCTGCAGCCCTATCTCAAAGGAAAAGGAAACTTTGTGGAACTTTTATTTTTAAGAGTGAAAACCCCTTAATAATTTAATTAAATCTATTCAAATAACAAACAGTATTATTAATGTTAAAAATATTTAGATATATGTGAAGAAATTTGGTAATTTAGTCTTACTTATTGTTTTAAATATTGAAATAAAAGGGTGTGATATAAAAATCATTATGATTTTTTTTTTTTTTTTACATAAAAAAAAAAACATTAAACTTGTTAAAAGTTGAAAGTGTCTGTCACATGTGAAACTCCCTTGTTATTTCTGGGGTATCCCCTTGTGGTGGTTTTAGGCTCTGCAGACTAGAGACTCCATTATTAAAAAAACAAGCTGTAAACTGTTAGTAACACAAATGTCACATTCACAACGAGTATCCATTATCAATGTCACTGCCATGATGTTATTTCTAATTTCAGGTTGCAGCAGAAGTATGAAGAATTTTCTTCTCTAAAGAAGACAGAAGTTACTTTTACCTTTGTAAACATCCGCTGTCTGCATTGTAAGTGTTTTTAAAGTCATATGTAGGCTGAGTATTGAAAGCGAGCTTAAATGAAGCATATAGGCCAGGTAACGTTTAAAACGTACAAATTGATATGTATAATGTTTATAATGTAAATATCTTGCGATCAATTTGGCAAAACCAGTGTATGTTAATCGATGAAGGAGGCTGATGGAATGATGACAAACGCTTTGCTATTATTAACTGACGAATCCGACATTTACGTAAGTCAATGAAAAAAACATTTTTAAACCAATCAGCTTTCAATATCACGTTATTACATTCAAATGTAGCCTTTTTCAGTCAATTTAAATGCATCAAGTTATCATTTGTTTACGTAATACATATAATTGTCGGTTCCGCAATCAATATCAGCCTACATATAGGCTATTTACAATCCTCACCGGCAGATTTGAGATTTTTTTGTAATATATTGTAATATATTTGTAACTGAATGTTTATAAATTAATTACGTTTTATTTAAGCCATCACTGTGTCACTGTCTTTATGAAATATTGCTCTTAAAATATCTAAATGATTTCTGTCTTGTGTAAGCTGCTTTTTGAATATGTTGCCTTTCCTCAGGATATTTTTTAATGGTTTGACATTAGATCTTTGTTAACATGTTTTGACTTGTTAACTGTTCACATGACAGCATGAGACCAATTCAGTGAACAGTTTTTTTTAACTTGTTATTTAATGAGATTTAAATTGTTAACTTATTTTTGATAAATAAATGTGGTCACATTCATAAACTATCCTAGTTTGAACCCCTTCATTCCTAATTTTTTTGTATAATTTATTATTTTATTTTATTTTTATTTAAATTTTGTTTTATTGGTTTTACTTATTAATAAAACTAAATGGTACTATGATTTATGGGAGATTTTATTAATTGATTTACTAAGATTATGTATAATAAGGCAAACAAAATGTAGTCATTTTATCAAACATCTTTGTAAATCTGCAAAAAAAAAATTCCTCTGTGAAATGATGTTGCTTGTTATCACAGAATGAAAATAAAAGTTTTAATATTTAATTACTACAAAAATGTTTTTTTATTAAAACTTATTGTATAATCATGCAAACAGTGGATTGATCAAAAGTAGATCATCTCAGAGATATTTTACATTTCATTTTGACCAGTTTCTTTTATAATTGTAGAATATGTATCCTATATAACTCAGCGATGATGTAAAATAGCATTGTAATACCTTAAACATAGTAATATGCTAACGATCCAAACAAAGAACTGAATATTCCTGAATATTGTGGTGCTTAAAAGGGGAACTGTTTTTTTTTTAAATAAACTTATTTTCAACTGAAACAAAAGCTTGCAAATATCAGTTATGTATATCATGTGGACCCTGTAACACTTCAGACAGCTCTGATTAATGACCGCTCATGCGTTTATGTTGATTGAACTGATCTCTGCTCAGCCAAAGTACTGTACATGTAGCTTATACTTTATTCTGAGGGGAAGTGATCGAGCGGCAAAGTGAAGGGAGAAAAGGCCAGGCCATTTCTTATTCATGATATTTAGCTGTTAAGAGCTCATTCTGCTGAGGATGAAAACTTGAACTTGGAGGATTCACAATTAGTACTCTTGCAAACACTGTACACGTCTAATTGATAATTAAGTATAATATAATATATAACTGCGGGTTTTAGAAGTCATATTGTAGTTCAAATAAGTAATCTTATTTACTTATATTTAGGTTTATTTGAGGGCAAGACACACGCTTTCTAAAATGCTGTTTGACTCTGCAAATGGGTCATTTAATAAAATACGTGTTCAATTGCTTGCATGTACAATATGCCTAGAAAAATGTTAACATTGGATTAAGTTAGGTTCAGAATTCTCTCTTTTTTTGCTGTATTAGAATATTCTATTTTTACAGAGGATATTTCGTCAATTTTCAATGTATCACTCAATAATTAAAATTATACTGCGAAGAAAAAAAACAGTTTCACATTTTTTTGTAAGATAAAGTGTAATGTATACGATATTTAGTGTGTATAGTAGGCCTAACTAAAGTGTATTTTGGATATTTTCTTTACACAAGACTGAAAATTGTTTAATAAAAAGCCAAATAGCCCAAAAAAACGTTTTGCTCTAGTGTCTCGCCTTAATTAAATCTTTCCATCGCTGACTTAAGTCTTGCGTTGTGTTATTTTTTCCTTACAAAAATGGTGACAGATCAGTTATTTCCAACTTTACATGCTTTGATGGTGTTTGCACGCCACCTGCTGGTGAGTTGTAGGAAACCACCATCTCTACACTGGATTTTATTAAGTATTATTACATCATCGTCATAATCAGAATTATATTGCATTGTTTCATGGTAAATCACATAAGTAGGAGTTTGATGATTATTAAATTTGGTTATGCTTATTAATGTTGAACTTTTCTTTTTGTAGTTCTTTGGAATGTGCGAGTCTCCAGAATTTATGTACACATACAGTTGAAGTCAGAATTATTAGCCCCCCCTTTGATTTTTTTTTCTTTTTTAAATATTTCCCAAATTATGTTAAACAGAGCAAAGAAAATTTTCACAGTATGTCTGATATATATTTTTTTCATTTATTTCGACTAGAATAAAAGCAGTTTTTTTTTTATTTAAAACTATTTTAGCCCCTTTAAGCAATTTTATAAATATAAAGTTTACAAAACAAACCATTGTAATACAATAACTTGCCTAATTACCCTAACCTGCCAAGTTAATAATAGTTAAGTCTTTAAATGTCACCTTAAGCTGTATAGAAGGGTCTTGGAAAATATCTAGTGTAATATTTTTTACTGTAATCATGGCAAAGATAAAATAAATCAGTTATTAGAAACGAGTTATTAAAACTATTATGTTTTAAAATGTGTTGAAAAAAATCTCTCGATTAAACTAAAATGGGGGGGGGGGATAAACAGGGGGGCTAATAATTCAGACTTCAACTGTATGTGTGTGTGTGTGTGTGTGTGTGTGTGTGTGTGTGTGTGTGTGTGTGTGTGTGTGTAAATATGTATATATTCCAAAATATGTTCCAAAATACTGCATTTTAATATATGGGGAGGTTATAACGGTTTAAATAAACAAGTAAATAGATAAATACTAATACTAAATTTATTTTTATTTTGTAAAGGCACGTTTTGGACAAGTCAAAATAAGTATAAAATATAGCCCAACTGTTTTCAACTTTCTAGAAGCTATGATAATCAATAGAAATAGTAATAAATGGCCTAATCATATTTTTAATCAAATTTGTGCAGCAAAATGTACAACCCTAGACAGGAATACATTTATGAAAAAAATCTTTTTCCTGTCATTTCATATCTCAAACGCTTTCAATATTTTTTTCATAAATTGGTGAAATATAAAAGGTGATTCTACTACTACAATTAATGACAGAAATGACTCACAATTCAAAACATTTCAAGTACTAAAATAAATCCAGTTAATTCTTGAGGTAAACTGAAGGTTACATGTATAAAAAGACTAAATGCTCTTAATCGGCGATTGCTGGAAAGAGCTCTATAAGCGAAGTGCTGCAAAAATCGCCGTCCATCAGAGTACAAACACCCACGATATTCTATAAATATGCCGAGCAGCCCCCGCACGATCCACTCTCCAACAACACGCATGAGCCGCGCGCCTTCATGACTCTTTTGGGCTGGAAAAAAATGAAAAAGTCGCAGTATTCCAGAGCACCAGAGAGAAGTCGTCTTTTTATTGTGGTTATTGGCGAGTGTGGTCAGTTAAAGTCTCTGTGCACATTAGTGCTCGGCGAATCAGATACTGCGCCAGTGTTGGCACATAAATGCTCTCGCGCACTGCGTGGACAGGCACTTGTGGCCACGCGCGGTCTGCATTGCGTCGAAGCCTCCCCTCCCCCATCCCGCTCCCATGTGCAATACAGTGCAACAATATGTTGGGCATGATTAAGGAATTATTCCCTCTCCGCTTATTGATCTCTCCTTTAAGAAGCCTTTCGCTTCCATACCCCCCTGTCAGTGCGTCCCGATAAAACAGACCGCTCGTCATCTTGTCTACTCGTAAGAGGGAAATTTTGCTGATGCAGTGATGTCTGGAAATGGTATGGTTCGCTTTTGCCCCCTTAATGTATCTCCCGCCTGAGCTGAGCTGCAGCATTACAATTTCTCATGCAGTATAAGCCATTTACACCAAGGTGCCGCCGCACGAGCAGGAGCGGAGGGAGGACGTTGCGGCTTGATGTTTTTCTTTTCAGCCTTTTCAGTCTTTTAGCACAGGTTTCAACTGAATGTGAAGCAGCTTCGTAAGGCATCTTGTTTAAGCCATATTTATTTTATTGCTATTTGATCGTTTGCGAATGTCGTGAGTCGTTTTGCGTTATGGATGTGACATTTATGGACCGCAGTCGAACGGTCTGAAAGTGAGAAGATGTGAAGAAGCCTTTTTCATGCAGCAAAAAGGACTTGAGGGTGCATTGCTGACAGGAGACAGCCGGCAGAAGACGCATTCCTTCAGTAACGAGGTGAGCACTTAATAAGCATGAAGTGAAAGCCGTGTTTTCCTCATGATTTATTCACTTAAACATGTAATTGAGCTATTCTGTAATATGTTGCTGCATGTAGTGAAAAGTAGACTGCATGTACTATGTGGCAATACTGTCCTGTCACGTCTTTTCAATAGCTTAAAACAGCATAATGAGTCAGAAGTGCACCCTTAAGGCTGTTCACTTCTCTGATTTATATTCATACATATTATTATGAGTAGATAAATAAATAAGTAGTGTGAACTTGCTGAGCAAGCAAATATCGCCGCTGTTCGATCCATTTTTCTCTGACTCGGTGACAGAGGCAGCCGAAGTGGATGCAGTGGAAAGGAACGATGGTCGAATCAGTGACAACTGCAGTGGGGCCACGCTGAAGAAAAGAACAAGTTATACTCTGTACCAGGATATATTTGAAGAACTGGAGAAAAGGAAGGAAAGCAACGCCTTTGGGAGGGCAATTGGATGTCTACTTCATTAAATTAACTCCTGCGGAGCTTCAACTTTGACCTGCAGGATGACAGTTGTGGCTGGGGACAACATGGATGAGACCTCTGCCGTGCCGGGGCATCCGCAGGACACATACCCCCCTGACCATGACGATCATGAATGCTGTGAACGGGTGGTCATCAATATAGCGGGCCTGCGATTCGAGACGCAGCTTAAAACTCTCGCCCAGTTCCCAGAGACTCTCTTAGGTAACCCAAAGAAGCGGATGCGTTATTTCGATCCCTTGAGAAACGAGTACTTCTTTGACAGAAATCGTCCGAGCTTTGATGCCATCCTGTACTATTATCAGTCCGGCGGACGACTGAGAAGGCCGGCGAATGTCCCGTTGGATATGTTCTCAGAAGAAATTAAGTTCTATGAACTTGGGGTGGAGGCAATGGAGAAGTTTCGTGAGGATGAGGGCTTTATCCGTGAGGAGGAGCGACCTTTACCAGAGAAAGAGTTTCAGCGACAAATCTGGCTCCTGTTTGAGCATCCTGAGAGCTCAGGGCCAGCCAGAGGAATTGCTATTGTGTCTGTTATGGTCATTTTAATTTCCATCGTCATTTTCTGTTTGGAGACTTTACCTGAACTGAAAGAGGACCCTGAGGGGCGTATAAAGATTATAGGCAACACCACATACTACTACAAACCTAGCATTCTGGCCGATCCATTCTTCATCATTGAGACCCTCTGCATTATCTGGTTTTCATTCGAATTGATAGTGCGCTTCTTTGCTTGCCCAAGCAAAGCGGCCTTCTTTAAGAACATGATGAACACCATTGACATTGTGGCTATTATCCCTTACTTCATCACGCTGGGCACAGAGTTAGCAGAGGAACAAGACGGAAAAGAGGGAAAGGGCGAGCAGGCAACATCACTGGCCATCCTCAGGGTGATCCGTCTGGTCAGGGTGTTCAGAATCTTCAAGCTGTCCAGGCACTCCAAAGGCCTTCAGATTTTAGGGCAGACCCTCAAAGCCAGTATGCGAGAGCTCGGATTGCTTATTTTCTTCCTCTTCATTGGCGTCATATTGTTCTCCAGTGCTGTGTATTTTGCAGAAGCAGAGGAAAAGGAGTCCTACTTCAGCAGCATCCCAGATGCATTCTGGTGGGCAGTTGTGTCAATGACTACCGTAGGCTACGGGGACATGGTCCCAGTGACCATCGGGGGCAAGATTGTGGGTTCCCTGTGCGCCATCGCTGGTGTGCTGACCATTGCCCTCCCCGTGCCAGTCATTGTGTCCAACTTCAACTATTTCTATCATAGAGAAACCGAAGGAGAGGAGCAGGCCCAACTCCTGAACGTGAGCAACCCGAACATTGCCTCCGATTCAAACTCTAGTCGCCGAAGCTCCTCAACCGTCAGCAAGTCTGAGTACATGGAGATAGATGGAGACATAAACAACAGCATCGACAATTTCAGAGAGGCCAACCTCAGAACTGGCAACTGCACTATCCCCAATCAGAACTGTGTGAACAAAAGTAAGCTGCTAACCGATGTCTAGAGGCACAGTTGAAAAGTCACGTGCTGACTGAAGTCACATATGAATGCTTACTTTACCTCCTCTCGTGAGCCCTTGCAATGCGAATAACTCTACAATGCAGACGAAAGAAAAATACTACACCAAAACATTTAGAACATAACTGCAACAAATGAGGCAGACAATTCAGTATATACATTTCCAAAGAGGATGAATGAGAAAAAAGCCTCCTCAAGCATCTAGCTAGCGTCCATGGGCATTGAAGGACTCTCGACGGCGGGATTACTAAAACATCACGCATGGACTACAGACTACATTTCAGCAAGCTGCACACTGCATCTGGGAAAGTGCATAAAAGACCAAGTGCAGTGTTCGGTGGACGCCTCATCCGTAGGTGGTCTTCCCCAACTGACCAGCAAAGCACCTTATATGAACAAGACTTATCTTCTGCTGGGATGCTACGGAGGCCAAGGTCATCGCCTCATGGACATCCGCATTGCTGCTATTTTCCAGCAGATGCTGTAATTTAGATATCACCAAGTGATTAAATGCCATGCCCTTTAGATATAAGACAGCACAATGCCGAAGGAGGAGCCTCATAGTTAGCATGTTTAGATTATCCTCATTTTGATATTGGCATGCGTCGGACATTACCTCATGAAGATAGGAAATCCATTCCTTTTTTGCTTTTGAAATTTTTGTGTTCAGCTCCATCAGCTCCCCTCTACATCGACCTCCTCTCATTGGTCGCCATGAAAAGTGCACTAGTGTGTCATGATTTGAGATGCTAATCATTTAGGTGTATTTAAAGACTGAATGTTTAACCTTATGGGAAACAGAATCTTAATGATATCATAGCATGTCAGAAGAACCTGCATTATGGCCTAATCAACTAAGGTACTGTGTATCCTAGTATATTTAATGCATGACATCGGTATAATACAGCTTGTTGCAATTGAGATACCTCATAAGGGTGTCATTGTTACAATCAGGGAAACTAGGGACATCGATTCCTTGATATTTTCTGAAATGTGACAAAATATATATGCAAGCCCCAACGCTGGGATGCAAACTTTTCAATCTAAAAAGTAGTCGAGGACACAGAAAAAGAACTATCAAGATACTATCAAATGCATATACTCATACTAAGCGCACCTGTTAAAAAAATTATATAACTTAAATAGTGCAGTGCATGGGCATTCTCTCTCTTGGGAGAGAGAGAGCAAAAAAAACAAAACACAAAAAAAAAAAAAAAGAAAACTTTGGGCAATTATACTTCACGCTTCCATTTTGTGATCAAATTTAGGATATCAAGAATTGCTTAATTTATCTTAGCAGGATGCAAAAGAGAACATGGCAGAATTACTCATATTAGTTGCTAGTGCCTTTGACCCTCTCAGCAACCGGACAGGTGAAAGTGCCTCTGAGTAACTGGAGTTTTAGGCAGGGCAAGGGAACAATATCTGCTCTAGAACTGTCATAATGTATGTATTGAGGCTGGTCATTACAGTGTATACAGAGTGCTTTTTATTTTTTGTTGATGATTTTTTGTTATTGTTGGTGTTGTTTCATTTGTGACACATGGTTGTCAGGCACAAACCCGAAACTTTACGTGTTTTCATACGACAGCTGAGCTTGAATATGAAATCAGACATATGATTTTCGCATGACAGGACCTTTCAGAGTTTTGGATCTGCCTTTCATTGTGGTTTTGATTATGTTGTGCCATAATTAAAAGTCTACCTCAGTGAGGTCGCCGCACAGCTCACTGCAGAGCAGAACATGAGAGTACATAACAGCCTATGAAGTGTGATGATAAGCCAGAAATAATACACTAAGAGTACCCCCGAATTAGCCTTTTTTTTCCAAGCACTTATAACAAACGCAACAATACGACGACCCCTGACCCCTTGGATCTGTAACGCTCCCTTGCTAAGCACAATCAACATCTACTTGGTTGTTTCACAGTCTTTTTTTAAAAAAAGAGAGAGATCTGGGAAGAAACAATAGCACAGGCTTTCCTATACCACAGGGTATAAACTAGACTAGGGTTGTCCAGTCCTGCTCCCAGAGGTCCAGTTCCCAATCCCAATTCTGGGGGTGTCCAAACTTGGTACTGGAGGGCTGAGCACTGTTCCGCAAAGTTTAGCTTCAACTTGCCTCAACAGTGTCTAGAAGCTTCTAATATGCCTAGCAAGACCTTGATTAGCAAAATCATGTGTAGTTAATTGAGATACGCGTTAAAATATGCAGGTCAGTAGCCTTCTAGGAGCAGGATTGGACATCTCTGCATCTGAATACACACATTTATGCTGCTTTGGATGTTGGATAAAGCTCATCTAAGGTTGGCTTGGCAGAAATGTGCATCATGGGCACATAGCAGCAGAAAAGGGGGAGAAGCCAGCCCCTCCTGAAAGCTAAGACTATGAATGGGACACCCTTTCCCAGTCTCTGGGACTTAACGGCCACTGTTAGTCCACAAGACTGCGAATGCACACCAAGTGTGAAATTTTTGATTATTTGATATGGTTCCTATTGAATCTTTTACTGATTTTAATTTTGCTTGGAGTTAAACTCTGCAGGACAGCGGACCTTCTTGGTGCAAGTTAAGGCATCCCTGAACTAGACATCTATTTACAAAGCTAAAAATTGACAAAATCTTTTCATTTTAAAATATGTCTTCTAAAACATTTCCACTTGGTGTTAAAAGTTTAAATTATGAACCCTGCACCCACCAAGAACTACTTTGATTGAAAGTGAAATCATGTGTAGGCCGTTCTAGTGTATATGGCTAAAGCTTTCCTTTCTCCATGATAATTAAAAATGCTTCAGAATGTCCCTCATTAAATGAGTTTGTTTGGGGCTAATTTCATTTACTAAACACAAGCAAGTCTGCCAGACCAGCTCGTAAACAAGTTGCCTGATCACATGACCCTTATTGATCGATGAGGTGTGATTGTAATCACAGGCAAACAGCAGTATTTTACCTTGGGCAGTTTCCTATAATGCTAACATGGGTTTAGTCACCTCTGCTGCAGCTCTGTGACAGAAAGAACTATTCAGGGGTTTATTAAAGCTTTTTGTTTGGAATTCATAACATTGCTTTTAGAGGCAATTTGGGCTTATGAAACGAAACAACTCATGCAGCCTGTGTTTTAATATGGTGAATTGATTAATTCTAAAATAAGGACGAGTGTTTGTACCTAGCGTGTGAGTGGTGATCAAACCCTATGGTGCTATGCATAATCTTATATTTAATAACTACACCATAAATCATAGCAATAGGGAGGAAGTTACAGGACTGTCCAGAATGCTTATTTTAATATCAACCAAGGGCTGTGGCAAACTTTTGATAAGAATAGAGATTATAAATGTAAAGGGAGACATAATGTACACCAACGATAAAGTTTTAGTAGGCAAAATTCATATTTCATGTACTTTACGTTGCTATAGTTAAAAAAAAAAAAAACAGAACATGAGACTAATTTTGCTATCTCCCGTACTGAAGCAAATTATGTTCAAACTTTATGCCTCTGATCTAAGGTGAGGACTGTTTATGTATAAAATATTTAAATAAATTATGGCTTAGGAGGTTATTAGTTGAGTCTGTAAAGGTGTAAATCCATAACATACTACATATTTTCACTTGTTTTTCTATGTATATATATTTGCATCGCAAGAAGCTGATATTAAGCTTTATTTTCAGAACGGATAAGAAATTACTTATAAAGCCCTGTACTTGACATGCTGGGAAAAACATGCATATTGTGGCCATAAATTAACTAATATCCAAGCAGGTTTACTAATTTGTTCCTCTGTGTACAATGAAAAATTGTTTGTTCCCTCATTTGGTAAATAATGGCCATGTTGCAATATTTATCACCTTGTTGTAGTGTAGAGAATAAATTAGTTCAACGTGGCCACGGTTAACTAAAACGAGGGAATTAATAAATCACTGGATTAAATTCCATTTTTTCACACTTGATTTAACTAAAACAAGTGAATTAACTTGTGATTTCAATGTAAAAAAAAAAGACAACATTTTCGAAATTTATATTATAGAATTGTTCATTTTTTTTCACAATTTTACAATAACTAAAAGAAATAACAACTTTGGTTTACTAAAATGAAAGAACAAATTATGAATTTGAGACATGACAGTTAAAACGGTTGATCAAATTAGAAAATCGTGACTTAAATTTACAAATAAAAAAAAGTGATTGAACTATCTATATTAATTGTAGCTACAAATTATTAAATGTAAGAAGACATTCTTAGTTTGTGAGAAGAAGTACATAATTTATGGTCAAAATTTTTCTAAAAAGAAAGAATGAATTTCTTATTTGAGGAAATAAATTCTTAATGTGTGGCTGTGACTGAACTAAAATGATGTAAACAAATTGTTTATTAATATCAATTAATTTTTAATTTGTGGCCATGATTGAACTAAAACGAGTAAACAAATTAACAAAAAGAGAACAATTGTGGGACTTAACTAAAATGATTTAACAAATTTGTAAATTGTGGCTACAACTAATTAAAATGTAAAAATAAATGATTAATTTGTGAGAATAAATTCATAATTTCTGGCCACAATTTTACTAAAATAAGTGTATAAATAATGGTACAAGCAAATCGTACTAAAATGTAAAAATGAGAACGTATAAACTAATAACAATTAGCCAATTATTGGAAAAGTTACGAATTAAGTTGGATTTAACTGAAACGAGCGAATAAGTTAGTAATTTGTGAAACCAATTAATTAAAATAACAGATCCAAATCTTAATTCATTGTAATTACTTTCATACTTTTTTGTCATGAGTGAACTAAAACAAGTGAACAAATTAGCAAACCGTGACTGATTTGTGACAAAACCAGTGGCCGCAATATATTTTCCGCATGTCAATTGCGGGGCTTCAAAAATAACATACACTGTAGAAGGAAAAGACGAAAACTACTGAGTGACATAACTACTACCGAGTTACCAGATGTAAAGCTTGCTGTTGAAAAATGAGGGACGCTAATAGTGCTCCCAGGTTGTGGCCTTTTTGGAGGATGTTGCAGACATACTTATTTTCTTCACCTGCGTGGCCTCGTCTAGCTATATTACCATGTTGCGTCCATGTGGCACTATAGTTAACTGTGCTTTAAACAACCCATGCCCTTGATAAAACTACAGTAGACTCACAAACGAGTCCTTAAGACAAGCCATTACAATATATAGGAAGATTATAGCTTGTATTATCGATATCATGAAATAAATCAAATAAACGGCATTAGCATCGAAAATGTACTGTACATTGTACTTTTTTTTTGTAATAACCTCAACTCCATACCACCATACCGAACCAAAAGTCAACAGCAACCTAGCAATTGCAAAAATCTGCATGGTGTATGGAAGACTGCATGAGCTTAGCCTTTCAAAACTGAGGATCAACTATATTCTGGTTGCATCATTTTTTAAGCCCTTGCTGTCATTTGTTCCTGAAGCCATCTTCATTATTTATTAGCTGTTATTTTCGTTCCCTAAACGTTATTTAATCCACCGATCAGATTTAATTGATTGATTTATTTATGTCGGCTTTATTTGAGATTCTCTTTCAGGATGCTGAATGATACATGGATTATATAATGACATGAATTCATTGACACGTTTAATTCTGCCAAAAAAAAAAAAAAAAGAGAGAGCAGGAAACCCAAACTAGAGTCCATACAGTCATTACGTACTGGCCATTTCAGCTACATGTTTATGTTCGATGATGTTAATGTTTGTTCCATGTATTTAACATGTTTATCTACTTTTTGTACTTTTGTTATGCTAAATTATGTTCATTTTGTTGTACATTGACAAAGGCATGGTCTGTGATCTATGCAAGGGTTCTTTTGTTTCTTATGTCAAATATGATTTGATCATACATCCAAATCAATAAATTTTTAATGATCAGCTGTTGGGTGTATTTCAGTGATTTTTTGGAGTCTGTGATACTTTTTGATAACTTAAGAAAATTACTCGTCTCCTGAACATGCTACAGTTTTATGTCCCATTTCTTTTTACAAGCAGATGTGAAAAAAACATGCATTTTTAATATATGAAATAAACTTAGCATGACAATTAGAACTTTTTTGATAAAAAAAAAAACATTCATTGGATTTACTTTTATCAATGTAACTGGTTTATAAACAATATATATTGGCTGAATTTAAACCAATTCAATAGTAATTTTTAATTTTGTTTGTATAAATTGCTTGTAAGCAGTTACCTTAAATAAATTTAGTAAATCCAATGAATATTTTAATTCAGTGTACAGAAATCTGATAGACATATATATGTAAAATTATAGCTTAACTAGGGCTGCACTATTTTGAAAATCTGACATTGCGATATTTTATTTTGCTGCAATATATATTGCGATTTGAATATAATTTACTAGATGATTTGAATAGCTCTTTATGAAAATATTTCAATAATTTATTTATTTATTGGTGTGATCAAGTCTTTTTTCCATAAAGTACATCTGGATAAAATATAATGTAATATAATCAAACGACAGAGCAAAATTTAAAGTTAAATAAACAGTGCTTTATGGTTTACTGTGGAGTGTTACAGTATTCAAATACAAAAATATAACAATACAATGTAAAAAAATAACGCGCATTGCATAAATAATTTCATACAATAATTTAAAAATAATATCTATGTATTTTAATAATTAATCTAATCCTGCGATGTGAATATTGCGGATACACACATTGCGTTATCGATGCATATGATTTAATGCATATGAAATTAAATATGTAAATGGCCATTTTTGCAATATTTTTAAATATATTTCATACATATTTTATGCCTAATCCAAACATGAATTGATGGTAAGTTTATTTTGATGGTCCATTTGAGTATTAGTAGACTGCCTGCTTATGTCTGTTGATAACTCACCAGACATTTAACTTACTATGAGAAACTTTGCAAGTACGTGTCAACTTCCACTAACCCTAACCCCAACTTAACAGTCTACTGGACCATCAAAATAAAGTGTGACCGAATTGATGTATAATTTGCATATATTGCCATATATCGGGCTCTATTTTAAGGATCTAAGCACAAAGTCTAAAGCACATGAGGCAAAAAAGCGTTAAGGCTGTGTTTGAATTCACTTTTGCCATTTTAAATATTTAAATGTATTTGCCATTTAAACAATGTGGTGCACAACATGAAAATTAGAGTTGCGCTGGTCTGAAAATAGCAACAAATGGTGCCAACACGTCTTGCTCCTTATTGGGTAAGGCCCATTAAATGTCTGTATCCCCAAATCTTTTACTGGTAATATCTAACAGATAATTTAACCATTATATCAGAATTTCAACACAACATTGTGAAGAGCTGCTGCCATAAAAGTTTTATCCATATTATTAAAAAGTATTAGGTTATATCAACTTTCATCACTTGAATTATTTAAAATCTTTTAGCAGTTAAAAATGAAGCTAAATCACGCTTAACTTACTTTAATAAGCAAGAAAAACAGATGTTATTATGACTTATTGATCATAATCTTTACAGTGAATCTGTTAAATCTATTCAGTGGACAGCAGAATAAACAATTAGTATAAAATTAGTATTAAAATTGTAAAACAATTAACTAAAATGAATCACTTCCTCATATTGTATGACAATTTACTGCATGATTTTCTGTGTTAATATAAAACAAAAACTGAAGTGACGATTTAAACTCTTTCGAAGTCATGACAGGACAAGTAAATTGTTATTTTGTTAAATGTATTTATATGCTTTGGCAACATTGTTGACAATGTGTGTAGGATTTATTAAACTTTATTCGACTGCACTGATTATTATTTTTTTTACATTGTATTTACTGAAACCAAATATTCAACAAGGTACATTGTGTTATTGAATTCTTATCATTAAACTATTAGATCAATTTTTATATTGTTATGTTGATAATTATTGTTACAGTTACAAAATTAGATAAAATTAGGTGTTTGAGATGCATTTAGACATTTTGTCAACATGGCCATTTAAAATGTATTAAATGTATTATTTATGACATTTGTTGTTATATTAATTATATTATTAATGTAAATTGACAGCATATATGACAAAAATATTTTATATTTGATAGTTATTAATATAATATATAATAATATTCTTTTAGACATGTTGGTAAGAGCGTGTTTCTACAAGTTTTCATCTACAAGTTTCACTTCTATAAGTTTCAAGTCTTAGGTCAAACTTAAGACTTTTTAAGACCTTTTTAAGAACATTATGACTTAATTTAGACTTACTCAAGGCTAAACGCTAACGATTTTTTCTAATGGCCCAGATAAAACATTTAAATACCCATTAAAAATAAATGTTTTTGTAAAGAAGTATCAGTAATAAATAATCTTTTGTTAAAACTTTTATTGAGATAGAAAGTTAGCAATTAGACGGGTACTAGCCGATTGGGTACTATGGATAGCTTTACATGAACATAGGAAAATTAAGACTCATTTAAAATGATTTAAGATCTACAGAACAATAATTCAGCAAATAATTCAGACTTTTTAAGGCCTAAAACTTTGTTTTTGAAATTGAAGACATTTTTAAACTGTTTAAGATCCAGCAGATACCCTGTAAGAGTGACTGTTTATTTGGGATTTAGATATATATATATATATTTTTAAGTTGACCACATTTGCCAAGATAACTATTTTATCTTGACCCCAAGTTGTGATAATAATGTTCTTCATCATTCAGATCCAGTAATTAACTCCATTTAATCAAATATTACGTAATTACTAATACTGTTATAATATTCATGAATTAGTGAAAAGTATGTGAAATCTAAACATGAACTTGTATCTCTTTTATGTAATTTGCATGTATTGCCATAGATCAGATTTCTAAACATATTAAATGTCTGTATCCTCATATTTTTAAATATCTATATAATAGATAATTAAACCATTATATCACAATTTCAACACAACATTGTGAAGAAGATTTAGGTCATTTGTTTTTGAAAAGTTGACTACATTTGCCAAGATCAAATAGATCTCTCTAACCCAAGTTAGGATAATTATGTTTTTTAACATTTAATATTTGTGAATTAGTGAAAGAGCCCTGGTTTTGAGCCCTGTTATTGGAAATTGACAACCCAGTCACTGAAAAACCTGCAGTGCACAACAGAACACAGAACACCTTGTCCAAACTTATCAAAAACATCCGTAAGCAAGGTGACCGCAGCACCCACCTAATGAAGCCGCTCTGCAGGGCTCTCTGTGTGTTTCTGTGTGCTGTAAGAGAAAGCCAAGTCATCCGGCGCACACTGAACAAACATGACAACAAAACAGTCAGTTTACATCGTCAACAAGATGTCTATCTCCTGCTTTCAATCCATCTAGCGCCCGCTTTCCTTTATACGCGCGCACATCAGGCACATTTGCTTCCCCCCTCGAGAGTTCAAAACATGATCTAGGAGTGTCTGTGTTTGAGTACCCTTGCTCTCTTCTCCTCTGCATTGCCCTCTGGAGCTGCAGCAGTGTCTCTCTCTCTCTCTCTCTCCGCAGGCCGGGCAGGGGTGGGGTGATCTGGCGACCGGCCCAGTGCAGCTCCTGAGGCAGATCTCCGGGCTCCTGTGGCTCGTGTCTCGCTCCTGTCCTGCCGTGCTCTGACCGACAACATGTGTCCCTGACACTGATTTTACAGCATGCACTAGTGTTTTAAGGTTCCCCTGAAAAAAACAACAACATTTTTGAGGTGTTAGTAAGAATCTGTTAGTCTTAAAAAAGGTTAGTTCACCATTAGTTCACCATCAAAAATGAAAACTCTGTAATTAATTACTTCTCGTTCCAATCTCTTGAGACTTTTCGTTCATCTTCGGAACCCAAATTAAGATATTTTAGATGAAATCCGAGAGCTCTCTGATCTATAGACAGCAAAGCCTGAGATGTTTAAAGTCTAGTAAAGGAACCAAGAACACTGTTATAACATTGAACAAATTGTTGTTATAAAATAGTAAATGCTCACCCACATTTGATGTGGAAGCAAACAAAGCTGTTTGTTTAGTTTCTTGGTGTACAAAAGTGTTCTTGAAGCTTCGCATAATGACAGTTGAACCACCCAAGTCACATGTTTTTTGTTCCTATTCTTCACTTTGAACATCTCACAATCAATGCTGTTTGGGGGGGGGGGGGGGTGTATGGATATGGGCTCTCAATTTTTATCTAAAATATTTGAACTTCTGTTCTGAATATGAATGAATGTCTCAGGGGATTACAACAACATAGGGGTGAAAAATTAATTACAGAACTTTTATTTTCGGGTGAACTATCCCTTCAAGGTTATCTAAAATCCAGTTTGCTCCAACAAACTAGACAAGATAAAGGCATTCAAATCGTGCAGTTTACAAATCTACCATTTTTATGAGATTATATATTTTCCGACCAATCCAAATGCTCTTAGCATCAGAAGCGTCTTACCCTTTTCAGACGTGGCTGAAATAAATCACTTGCATTGCACACACACACACAGTAAGCATACAGGCAACCAGGACATTCAAAATTAAGGCTTTTAAACACAATAACATTTCTCTATATGGTTAATGGCACATTCTGTTCTAGGGAAAAAAACTATTCAGACAGTGTAAGGACCATTCGCACAGATCGCATGTTTGCGTGTAAAAACACAAGATGCATCATTTAAAAATGGTTCAACTGCAAGGTGCATCAAAATAACTGAGGCACAAGCATAACAGTCGTGCATGTTCATCCATTATGTGCGTTTACATGGAAAACAAAGTAAATGTAGCATGTTGGAATGGAAAATGGATTCGGTAAGAATGGCCCCTAAATATGTTTGTTTCTTTGGGGTAGTACCATATTAATGTCACGTGCACATACTGTACACAGTCCACTTCAGCACATGATAGTTTAACAGTCGCTGTTTC